CACAATCTGTCCTACCCCAGTGAGTCATTTAAATGAACTGTTGTTCATTTGACTCCCCATGAGCATGTAGGGGACACACAGCGCAATTCTCATAGGGAAAAGGAAAGACAGTTGGATCTGAGGCAGACTGCTGCTCTGCAGAGCCCCCAGCTGCCCCCATCCTCATCTCCTCTTCCTCTGAGGAACTCAGGAATGAACAAAACCATAGTCTGGACCGGAAGCCTGGTTCCCCCCCCCCCCCCCCCTTGCCTGGGGTCAGCCACCTGCTTGCCCAGAGCCTCACTTCAGGACAAAAGCATCCAAGCGCAGTCCCACAGATGCTTTACCTGTGCAAACACGCCTGAGTCATTGAGAAGGTGTCAGGTGAAAAATGTGAAAAAATAGAAAATATACAGAAACGCCCTGTTGCCCTGACTGGTGCACCCCTGCAAACTAAGCCAGTCTGTAGGAGATTGATCCTTTCACGGTCTGTGATCCTTTCACGGTCTGTGGTTCTACAACTGTGAAAATGTATCCCTGCAGATGGTTCCTGCCAAAGACGGTCAAATAAACCTGAGACAACCGGCCTCCTCACCGTTTCTAAGTTCCCTTCAGGACCCCTGCTTGCCTGCATCTGCATCTAAACCCACATCTGCATCTCAGAATGTATATATGTTGTTCGAATTACCTGTTTTTTCATTACATGATGAGTTAAATAAATTTGATATGTCTTCATTTCACATGCTGTGACAGTCACGGTTTTACTTCTACAGTGCCATCTTCTAACAAAGACTTCAGAACTGCACACGTGGACACACGCGTCTATTCATGATATTGCAGTATGTGGTCATAAACAACATTGACAGAGCAACATTGGCCCAATAGAATATCTGGAGCCTCAAATAACATCTCAGAAGGCATTTGCCTGCTTCATGGGACATGAATGATTAGCAAGAGGCAAATCTTGGTGGCCATTTGAAAGCCCAACCAAGGGCTGCATTTCAAATGCCGATGTGCAGAGCAATGAGGCTAGATCTGAAAGAGACCAGTCAGGGCCATAAAAATAGCCCTGCTGGAAGTACAATTGAGTTCCAGCATGCCAAATGGCCAGGGCCAATGTGCTTGATGAGCAGAGGGCCAGAGCTGAGGCTGAAGTGAGATACTTTGCATGGAGAAGTACAGCATGGTTGCCTGCAGGAATGGGACCCTCCCAATCCACTTTCCAGATGGAGGCTGAGCACCCCCTGCCCAGGAGAAAAAGATATATTCAATGGGCACTAGGAAAAGCCATGCTTGTTTCCAGAGTTGAGGTAGGAAAGGTCTTTCCTGCCCAAAACAGTGGCTGCTGCTTCTGCCTGGAAGGCATCCTAGACAGGATCTTTGCAAAGTTGAAATGTCACAGACTCTACAGGGTAATGCCAAGGCCTTAAGCATACACACCCAGCTCTTTCCCTGGTGCTACATGACAGGAACTTTCTAACTCAGTTCACTCAGTCCCTATGCTGGATAGTTTTATGCCAGCTTGATACAGGCTAGAGGTATCGGAGAGGAGGGAACCTCAGCTGAGAATTTGTCTCCATAAGATCTGGCTGGAGGCAAGTCTATAACATATTCTCAATTGGTCATTGATGTAGGAGAGCCCAGTCCTTTGTGGGTAGGACCACCCTTGGGCTGGTAGTCCTGGGTTCTACCAGAAAACAGGCTGAGCAAGCCAAGAGGAACAAGCCAGTAAGCAGCATCCTCCATGGCCTCTGCATCAGCTCCTGCCTCCAGGTTCCTAGCCTGCTTGAGTTCCTTCAGTGATGAACAGTGAAATGAAAGGGAAGCCAAATAAACCTTTTCCTCTCCAAGTTGCTTTTGGTCATGATGTTTTATCACAGCAATAGTAACCCTAACCAAGACAGTCTCCCAAAGGAGAACAATTGGATGCACCTGCTGAGTTGGTGGGGTTACCTGGGAACAGTGGGAGCACGCTAAAAGCTGCACCGGGTGCTTAGTGGATGATGCTACCTGCAAACAGGTGCACACTTGCTCCTCTGGCAGAGCAGCAAAGGAGGTCTTCTGTAAGCTCTCAAAGTGCTCCACAGGATTTGACCAACCTCCATTAGCTGAAGACTCAAAACACTACTTCCAGCTCAGACACGTACTTGCTTCTCTGTGGGTCTTTAAGCAGGTATGAGACCCTAGCAGCCATCCTTGGCCTTGTCAGGAACTGAGGACGTTGACTCCCCGTTCCCGCCCGCCCGTCTGCGCCCCCCCCCCGCCCCCGAAGTGACTAGACATCAGCAAAGTGCCCCCTCCTCCTCCTTTCCTCCAGGCTCCCACGTGGACGCTTTGCCCTGGGATGGAATTTCCAGATGGGGCAGGGAAAGGCTGAGGGTGGCTCCTTAGAGCAATTTGTGGAATTTCCTTTAACCTGTACTGCCCTCTGGAAAACATGCAGAATCCCAACTGCGAGCCTAACCTTCTGTTCCCAGAGGGGAGAGACACTGCACATCCTGCTCTTCTGAGATGCTCGGCTGGGGCTCAGTAGAAGGGCACTTGCCCAGCACATGCAGGGTCCTGAGTTTGATCCCCAGCATTAACACACACACACACACACACACACACACACACACACACACACACACACACATCATTAAAAAGATGTTTTCAGGCATCCTGGAGCAAAGCATGGTCTCCACAGAGCAAGAGCAGGGGAAGGGGCCCTGGCTGTCCCAAAGAAGCCAGCTCGCCAGAGCTGTGGGCAGCCCAGCCTCTTATTCCAAGCAATGGGACTCTTTCTGTGAAAGTTTGCCTCTGTGTTTCTGCCAGATGATTAAAGTGTTAAGTGAAAAACATTGCCTAGCATCAAAGGGAGCTCAATGTGTCCTTAAGAAACTCCCCGGGCTGCACTCTGCCTCCTCACCCTCAACTTCAAGTGCATCATCAGCCTCTGCAAAGGCCGGGAATGTAACCCTTTCCCTCTCCTACGAAGACTGTTTTCTCCCTTTGATGACTCCTCCAGAAATCCCAGGAGAGGCGGTCTTTTCTTCCCGAGACCCAGGCTCGTGGTCTTTTCTTCCCAAGACCATGCCCGTGGGCTTGGGGCTGCGATGACACATCTACAGTGATAACTCTGGAGAGCCCACCACACACTGCCTTAGGAGATCTGAAAACACAAGGGTGGTGACTTCAGGCCCTTAAGGGTATCCCTTAAAGAGCTATGCCTTATACATGTTCAAGGGTCCGTTCACTGCTGCTCACAAGCCAATAGTGTCTTTGCCCCTGAGCACCTGCTATATCTGCATTGACATCTATCCTGTGGTCTGTGGGAGCCATTTGATATCTTGACCTAACCGCCAGCAAATGATGCTTCAACTCTCTGTCTCTGCCCCCAGTGAGGCCTCTTTAAATCCCTTGAACTCTGATGTGGTCTCTTTCACCCCACAGAAGCCATTATGAACCCACATATATACATACTGATAGATACGATGTGGAATGTGTTATCTGAGAGTTACTATTAGTAGTTGAGATTGAAATCAAAGAGCCTGTGTTTGCCCACAGCCAGCTATCAAGGGAAATCAGGCCTGCTTGGTAAATTGTAGCCAATCATAGCTTGTGAATTTATTGTTATTCAATTAGGTCCTGACGTCATGGTGAAGAACATAAGTGTGTGTGTGTGTGTGTGTGTGTGTGTGTGTGTGTGTGTGTGTGTTTCTGAAATACTGTGCTCAGGACAGGGGGGCAGGGTGCTCGGGAGGTGAACCACCAAACTGCTGATGCTGCCTTGTAGAGCCAAGACGACCTTGCCCAGCTTAGCCTCATAGATGAGCTGAGGGCAGGCGGCAAGCAGGCGTGGCCCCAGGTACTTCAGACACAAACCCTTTCCCATCTCCTGCATCCACGTTTTCTGCTTCTCCAGAACTGAGCTGCTGTGTGTGTGTGTGGGGGGGGGGGCGAGAGTCAAGCCCAGTTCTTTGGGTATTGAAGGCCAGAGTGGATGAGATACAGAAACGAGGAATTACCCTAGAGAAGGCATCTTATCAGCAGCGAGTAGGATGATTTTTCAAGCATCATTCAAACTGTGGAGGAAGAAAACCCTAGAAAGTCTGTAGCCTAGGCAATAGCAGAGGGAAGCTGGTTTCAGAGCCCGTTCTTCATGGAAGGTGCGCAGGCTGACACTTTCTCCATGCCATGGCGGGTCCATGGCTGTCAGACTCCAAACACTGCAGAGTCTGCCCTGACCCCATCGACATGTCTTCTTTCTGCCCTTGTGCCTGGCACTGACTCAGAGAAGCCCTGGCCATGCCTCCCCTAGATTCCCAGGAGTCCTCTAATCCTGCCTCTGCTCTTTCCTCCGCTGACCCTTTCTCTACAGCTTGACTTTTTAAATCTACCATTATTATAACCTTGGCATCCTTACTGAACTTAAAATCCTTGGAAAATGTCCCACTGCCCTCGGGGTAAGGTTCATTTTCTATATGGAGCTTGATCATCCTGCTGAACGATTCAAGCTGTGTCCACACAAGTCTTGTGGCATCCTTGAATGGTATCGTGCATCTGTACCTGCATATCTGCCTCACACCCCTGAACCTAACGCGGAAAAGCAACCAACCTCTCTGGCTCCCAATATCTCTGGCTGTGCCTGTCACCATCTCTTTAAATGTTTTCATTAGCATATTAATTAGAACAGTGATGGGTTTCATTATGACACTTTCATATATGTATATAACATATTTTGATCACACTCACCCCATTATCCTCTCCTGTCCCCATCCCACTCCACTGGTTCCCCCCTTTCTACTTTCAAGTTTTTTCACGGGTGTGAGCCAATGGGTTTCCTTAGGTTGCTTACAGAAGCACGGGTGAGGTGTTATTCACACAGTCATGGGAACTCTACCAGTGCCTTTGCCTCTGAAGAAAATGTCTCTCCACCATCAGCCACTGTGCGGAAACTCTCAGGGAGGAGATGAGCTGTACAAGCCACGCTCCCCTCCTCCACCAGTCGCCACCTAGATACGTTCTGTCCAACCACTGACCTTCCCATCCATGCCTGGGAAGATGGTCCTCCTCCCTGGAACTCCGCTCACCTCCCTCTTCAGCAATGGTGATCAGTTGAGCCTGGAGTCCTGCTGGTCCATCTCACTCTACACCAGTCCTCCACACCCCTCCAGGCCTGCTGCGGATGTGATCATGAAAGAGCTGATAGCCCTGTGTCATGACTGCCCTGTGAGGTCACCCAGGATGGCCTTGTCCCTAGTGTGAAAAGGAGAAGAACAGATGTTGAAGCCAGAAATGGGACCATGAGTTCAGCTAGAGGGAAACTGAGGCTGGAAGTAGAGGTCTGAGACCGATAGGTAGATCTTAGAACCAGGTCTGCATGGGGTAGAATGATGGTGGATTATTGTTGAGAATGTTCAATGAACATCCAACCCTATGTTGTTCAGACCTCTCATCTCTTCCCTGGGCCACCATTCCCTGCTTACCCCTGGCTCATGCGAACTAAACTAACACTCTCTCTCTCTCTCTCTCTCTCTCTCTCTCTCTCTCTCTCTC